TTGTTTTTACTAGGTGGTTCAAATATGACCGGGACTGATTTTTTTGTAAACAAGCCGCACTGCGCAGCAGCTGTGCGACCTTGAGAGAGTGAAGCCACAACCTCCACCCTCCCTCCTGTTAGGGTTAGAACCTGTTCAGTCCTATCTGGAAGTTGCTAGAGTGATGAGTGAACAGAAGGTACCGCAGAGCGTGGAACAACGCATCGTGATCAAATTCCACAGAGAAAACGTCCCGTCCGCTGAAATTCACCACAGATTCCAACAGCAGTATAGGGAAGAGTGTCTCTCATGGACCTGTGTGTTTGAGTGGTGTAAGTGCTTCAGAGAGGGCAGAGAGCACATGGAGAATGAACCGCATGATTGTCGGCTGCGAACATCTGTCACCAAGCCAAACATTGATCGTGCAGACACACTTATTTGTGAGAATAGGCGCCTCACTATCAAGGAACTTGGAGCAGTGCTGTCCATCAGTGTTGGTAGTGTATAAGACATCATGAAATACCACCTGCACTATCGCCAGGTGAATGTACGGTGGGTACCACACACTTTGACGGACGTGAACAAAATGGTGCACATGCAAGTTGCCAGTCGTCTCCTACAGCAGTTTGAAGACGAAGGTGATGCATTTTTGAAGTCTGTAGTGACCACTGATGAAACGTGGGTGCACTACTTCATTCCCGAGTCCCAGCAATCATCACGCGAGTGGCGGCATACCAGTTCTCTCAAACCCAAGAGAGCGCAGAGGAGCTGTTCAGCAGGAAAAGTGATGGCAACGTTCTTGTGGGACTGGCAGGGGGTTATCCATGTAGACTTTCTGACAGATGCCAGAACAGTCAATGCAGCTTATTACTCAGACCTCCTGGCAACAGACGTGAAGGAAAAGATCCGATCCAAGCGGAAGAGAGGTGGAAAGCGGGTAGCCTTCCTTCAAGACAGGAAAAGATCCGATCCAAGCGGTAGAGAGGTGGGAAGCGGGTAGCTTTCCTTCAAGACAATGCGTGCCCCCATACTGCCAAAACAACAATGGAAACCCTCCGGAAATTGAAATGAACCTCCTGACACATTCGCCATACAGTCCCGATTTGGCACCAAGTGATTTCTACCTGTTCGGAAGGCTCAAATTAGACTTACAAGGCATGCGGTTTGTGGACAATGACGCCGTCATCCAGAATGTTCGGGAGTGGATATGCCGCCAACCACAAAACTTTTTTGAAAAGGGTGTCAGGATGCTTCCAGAACATTGGAAAAAATGTGTTGACTCCGGAGGGGAGTACGTTGAAGACTGACATGTGCAAGTAAGTGTTTGGCAATTTTGGTTTAAAAAAAAAATCAGTCCCCATCATATTTGAACCACCTTGTACAAGCTTCAAAATATATTCATAGTGTATTGATCCTCTTTTAAGTACCTTAAAAACTGTAGGGTGCACAAAAACGTGTGTTTGTCATGAAGTGTGTGTTTCATTCTTTCCTGTAATTTTGACTCAATATTTTTTCACTCCTGTAAGTAATTAAGGGGGCATACTCAAGATAAGAGTAGAAATGCATGTATGTCTGCATGTAAGGTGCTTATTATTTTTATCTGATTTTAACAAAAATTTTAATTTACTGACAATAGTAGAATTCATCAGATTTAAGTGGAATTTGTTTGCTGGCTTTCTAGATATTACATGCATACAGGTGGTCATGTGGAATGGATGACAGTTGGTCATACACCCACAAATATGATACTGAATGAGTACTACTGCATTCACCTGATTCCATGTTGTTTAAGCAAGCATTTTATTATAGCCTGTAATTCTCGATGGACAGTTATGAAAACATAAGATGCAATTTAAAATTCATTCTTGTAGGTGGCAGTAGAGTGTGCCAGTCTACTGATAATAGTGATTACAGATTGTGAGGGTGTAAATGGAATCCTGAACCTTGGAAGTATTATTCCTTTAATAGTTGCAGAGATTGTATAGTGACTGAAATTAATGAAAGTTTAGAGCATAACAGAAGGGAATATATTTGTTCATTAGGAACACTTATTTACTTTCAAAAGTCGTTTCTATTCCTACATAATGTGTGAAAATACACCATGACAGTAAATTGATCTGTGTAGTCTCACTGCTACCAAATGTTTAATTGTAGACAGTTAACAGTATGTGAAATATTTCAAATAAGGTAACTGGAGTAATAGCAGTATCTCGTATTATTGGAAGAAGAAAAATGGGCCTCATGTGCACCTTTAATTAAAATAAACTTGGCTGTTATAAAAATAATTAATATTAGACTTTACATTCATTATATCTGTGGAGGTATGTCATACATTGAGTAGGCAGCATTATTAACAAAAGTTCTGTGTTTACAGCAAGATCTCCAGTATGGGAATTTTGATTTCCAATATATGATGAAACTAAACTGTAGTAACTTTCTAATGATATAATGACCTATGTTACTGTCTGATGATGACACACTCCCACTTATAAGTAATTACAAGTGTTTAATGAGTCTTCATTGTTTTCAGTTTCTGTTTTGCTTCACCAGGTTCTCATTTGAGGTCATATTTTTTTTTCTGTTTTACAGAAACTCTCTGCTGAGCTGGACGTGAAAGAAGCTCAACTTCTAGAGTTGGCCAGCCATTGTGAGGGTCTTCAAGGTTACCCTGATATACAGCAGTTGGCTTTAGCATTATCAGAACACATTCAACCTGTGCAGGAAGCTATTCGTGAAGCAGCAAAGGAACTAAAGATCCGCCATGATATGCTGCAGGTATTGGGGAGCATTTATCTGCTCTTTGTAACATTACTTAATGTCTTCTTCGAATCTCTCTATCAGATGACTGATTTCTTTGCAGTATATCTCTCCAATTCTTTTCATTCAGCTCGAAATTAATGTCTTCCAAAATTCTTCTTTTGCATATATCTCCTTCTATTAACTTATCTCTTTGGGGTGATGGTGTTTGGGTTTCTTTACTGCTGTGTTTAATCTTGATATTCTTGTAACTCATTGGTTTTCTTCGTTTTTTATTGTAGTAAGCAATAGGCTTCTGTGGATTTTTATATTTTACCAGTCTAAGTTGCAATATTTTTGAATCGCCAATTGGCATTCTTTTAGGGATTGTTAACCACTGAAGAATCAAAGGAGAAGCAGTATCCCCAGGTGAAGCAACAGGAAATATTGGTATCTTCTGTAGAGCTTGTGCCACATGTAGCACAGTCCCTTCCCAAAGTTGACTCCAAGACTGTACCTGATGTTGATGAAGGTTCTGTCTTGATATCTCATCCTCAGACTCCAGTATCAGCAACTCCTGTTGATTCACTTTCCACTCAGGATAGACCCCTTCCTATTCAAGTTACTACAGAGCCAGTATGCATCAGAGAAGACCCGGAACCATTGTCTGGTGAAGAGAAAGATGTAACTGTTGAGAGCCCTTTTGTTTCTCAGCATGAGTTAGCAGCAGAAGATACCTTAGCATCAGATTTATCAACAATCCCAGATGAAGAGGTGCCAGTCCAAAGCCTTATTGCTGTAGAATGTGAATTGAAGCAGGAACCAGACGTCCATGATGTTGGTTCTCAGACAGGAAACAGTTTGCTCCTTGATCAACCAAAGAAAGAAACTGTCTCAGATTTAATACCAGAGGTAACAACAAAAGATGAAGGAACTATATGTCATCCTCCTGTTGATATGGAAGTACAAACAGAGTCTTCTTCACAGTTTGTAAGTGATTTTGCCTTGCCATTAGCAACCAAGAAAGAAGTACCAACTGAGATTGCAGTCCAGACAGTAAAAGACACATGGACTTCTCCTGCCATTGAAATGCAGAAAAATAAGATCCATGTTTTTCAGAAGATAACAGGGGATGAAGAGACTATTGAAATTGCAACAAAGGCTGGTGTTGGAGGAGGAGAAATTCTTGTAGCTCCTGAAGTAGAAAGTACTATTATACCAGAGGAGAAACATAGTGAAACAGATGATGACTTGTTAGTAAAAGTAAAATACAAAGGTAAAGGTCAAGAAGATACACAGTCCGTTACCAGTACATCTGAACTGAACATAATTCACACAGCACCACAGTCGTTTGAAACTCTCCTTATTGATCCTGGTGAAAGTACAACGGAAATAATTGTTGATAAGGACGGAAATCAGAAAATTGTTGTTCGAAGAGTTCGGCAGACTGTGATATCTCAACAGCAGCAGCATACAGTACAACAGAGGTTTCAAACATTTGCAGCTTCAGATGTTGGCAGTGAATGTGCAGATGTCCCTGTAACACATTCTGTTGCATTCTCTGAAGTGACTTTGCAAGGACTACAAAGTACTGTGTCAGAAAGCCAAGGTGATGGAAAGGTCCATGTTACAACCACTAAATCATACACAGGAAAAGTGGCAGCAGGCATTCCAGGTGGTGATCTCACTTCGTCAGAGTTCTCCACTGAACCTCAACATCAAACTGTTACATACCACACAGTCTCTGGAGGAACAGAAAATCTTCCAGAATGTGCTATTCTTAGGGAAGTGGGAGGTCAAGTATTTAGTGGCAGTGGATACACCGTTGTTGAACCGTCTGAAGCAGATAATATGTCAGCTGAATTTGAACCTGAGCATATTGTTACTTCACAACCAGAAGGTCAAGATACTGTTGGAGACCAACTCATTACAACTTCATCATCACGTGTTAATGCAGTTGTTCAGCAGGTTACTAGAAGAGTTGTTCGTAGAATCAGAAGAGTTATCCGAAAGGTTGTTATTATTGATGGGAAGGAGCACGTGACTGAAGAGGTAGTGGAGGAACCAGAGGAAGTAGAAATAGAGGTTCCCAGGGTGAGAGTTGAGATCTCCAGAACAGGGGATAGTGATATGGGTCAGCAGATATTGGACGATGACCTCCAAGAACAGTACCAACATTACAGCCCTGGTGATGTTACAGTTCAAGTAGATACTGGTTCTGTTCCAAGACTGACTCTACAGGAAGGTGAAGACACCTATGGTAATGTGTTTCAAGGAAAACCAGGAACTGAAATTCGGGATCATCATATCGTGGAAGAACACAAACCATCATCAGTGCAAGGGGAACTTGTACAAGTTAGCACGTATGGTCAGACACCAGTGGAGAAGCAAGAGTACATGCAAGGAGAACTGATGATGAGTGTCCTGGGATCAGTACATAAAAAAGAGGAGGGGGTGATGGCAGGGAATAGTGAAGTTAATAGTTTGTTTGTAGATGCTCCTGAGGAATTTCCAGACACTTTGGATGCTGAAGTGGTTCCAAGTACAGTGGGTGAACTGAAAGATGAAGCTGATAAAATGTTACGAGATACAGATGAATCAGTATTTGTACAAGGCACATGTGTGGTAGAAGGAGATATAAATAATCTATTATACAAGGAAGCAGAGCATGTCCCTGAAACTGCTGTTGAACACACATCTCCACAGCAGTTTACAGAATGTCTTGCTACCTCTGAACTTGACAAAGACAATATCGTAGTAGCTGTAGAAGAATTAACGGTTGAGAAGATAACTTCCGGAGATTATACAGTTGGAATACCTGAACAAGAAAATTTACATATTGTAACAAGCACTGGAGGAATTCTTCCAAATGCATCTTCAGGATTCGATTCAGTTTCCGTGAAATTTGAGGCAGTAATACCTATGACAGAGTCAGAGCCTATAACTGAAAGGGATTCTGATCTGAAACAAAGTGTGAAGGAGCAAAGCTCTGAGGTACCACTTGAAAAGTCATTGTCTTCACATGGAGTACATAATGAGGCCATAGTAAGTGGAGTGACCCACATACCAACTGAACCAAGTTCTGACATGTCTCCTTCTTTGGAGCATCATATTTTACCTGAATTAAAAGAAACGCAAGCAACACAAGAACCAGATACACAGGAAACAGAGACTGAACTGCAAGGTCAGTGCATATCAGTTGAGTTCCCAGAAGCACAGAAATATTTTGATACAACTGAAATTAAGAATGTAGCTGAAGAAACATTAAAAATCAGTGAACTGACAGAAGGTAATGGAACTGTGGATAAAGTTATTTCTGATGAAACCATGCAGAGTCAGAGTACAGAACAACTTCATACTACTACAGAGGATCCATTTGTGACAGATTTACAATCAGAACCTACAGCAGTTACTGAAGTGAGGACATTGGAAATACCTGAAGGTGAACATTTTACTCCAAGTGTGGAGTTAAAATCAGCAGAAGAATCTCCTAAACCAAGTGAATCTAAAGAAATTGTTACAGAACCAGATGGCGCAGTGAGTCAAGATGTACCATCACAGACATCTCCAGAACAAGGTATTAAAACAGTTGAGTTTGCCTTGTTTGTTGAAGAGAAAGCTAAACCTTCTTTGAAAGATACTTCAGAACTAATTCCAAAAGTATCAACAACTGTTCAGTTTCAGGAGAAAGAACTTACAGCATCATCAGAAGATAAGAAAGGTGAACCATCTACAGTTACAGTACCTGAACATGAAGTTGTTAAACAGGACATTGTAATTCAGTTACCTAGTACAAAAACCGTTTCACATACCGCAACTGAAGAAATTATTACTCAGCCCACACCTGCACCTACTTCACTGAAGACTGAAAGTGAACCCTGGGATGAAACATCCTCAAAGAGTGAGGTAGATATCAGTATACCAAAGAAAAGCAAAAAGAGGAGGAAGCATAAAGCTAAAGGGCTCAGAGAGAGTTCACCTGAAGAGTCTATTGAGGCTGAACAAGTAAAATCCCCAGAAGAAACTCAAGAGGGCATTATCCAAAATCTTTCTTTAGACAAATCAGATGATCTGATATCAGTTGAAACATCCCTTGCAGAATCTACAGAGATTATTATACCAGGCTCACAAGCATCAGCTTTGTCTGATACAACTAGAGAAACTGAACTGGAGATTGTGATGTTTGAAACTCCCATTTCCCCACACTCACCAAGGGATAGTGCAAAGACACATGACACAGGTTATGATCCAGAAGACAAAACAACATTAGATGAAATGTCATTAGTGGAGGAAGATGACAGGCAGAAGAACAAGAAGAAGAAGAAAAGAAAACAGAAGGTAAAAGCAAAAGAATCAGAAGACTCAACTAGTACCACCCCAAAATCAGATGCAAAGCCAATAGATGCTCAGACATTGGACTCATCTCACGTTAGTAGTACTGAAAAGCTGCGCTCTCTTAAACCAGAGGAAGCCAGTACATCAGCAAGTGAAAGCACTGCAGCAAAAGTGGCAGTGGAAGAGATAGGAGTTGAAAGGAAAGGAAAGAAAAGGAAGAAAGATAAGAAGGAACCAGAAGCTGCTTCTGAATTTAAAGAACTAGATGCAGCATTAGATATGCAAATTGCAGATACACACAGTCCGGAATTTTGTGATGAATCATACAAAACAGTGAAGTCTGAGGAAGCTCACAATGTTAAAATCATGGAAGAAGCCCTTCTGACACGACCACCAAGTGAGGCTAGTGATATACTGGTTGGCCCTGAGCCTAAATCTGTTGATATCTGGGAGCTGTTGCATGTACAAGAAAAATCTGTTCAGACAGTGACCCAAGATGTCACAAATTTACCAGATTCTGTGATGACAGAATCTTCTGTTCAGACTATCAAGGAACAAGTGCCTGTCACACAGGAGGATAATACTCAGACTGTGACTCCTGAGTTGTCTGTGATAGAGAAAACTGACACTACAGATTTTTCTGTTCAGACACTGATAGAGGAGCTTACACCTACACAAGAAGGATCTGCGCAAACTAAAACACCAGAGGTAGTAGAACTAGAACCTGTCTCAACAAATGAAACATCTATCCAGACAGCAGAGATTGAACCAGTTCTAACCCATGAAGAAGCTGCGCAGACTTCAACTCCAGAATCCATTCAACTGGCATCTGTTGGTACTGTGGATTCATCCATTCAAACCAAGGCTGAAGAAATAATACCTATACAGGAAGGCTCTTCACAAACATTGACACCTGAAGTTCCAGTTATAGATACAAAGGATACATCAATACAAACAGTGAAAGATGAATTGACACCTGTGCATGAAGGATCAATGCAGACTGTAGAATCAGACCCAGTAGAAATTCCAGAACAGCTGAAAGTGGAAACATTTGAGATGTCAGTTCAGACTTCTAACGAAGCATTGAATCCAATATGTGAGGAATGCGCACACACTGATATTCAAGAAAGACCAGTTGAAATTGTTGAGATGTCCAGTCAGACAGTGAAGGAAGATTCAGTACAAACTCGGGAGGGTACAGCACAAACGGTTTCACCTGAAGTTACCACAGTAGCACAGGTTGATGTGTCTGAAACTTCCATACAGACTATTAAAGAAGAAATCGTTCCTAGTACAAACGAATATTGTCAGACAGTTTCAGCTGAAGTGCCACAAGCTGAGGTGATTGAGATAACAGAAATCTCTACTCAGACAACAAAACCTCTGGCTTCATTCACACAGGAGGAATATGCTCAGACACACTCACCTGAAGTGCCTGATGTTACAGAGACATCCATTCAGACACTGAAGGAAGAGATTGTACCTACAGAAGAACAGTACTCACAAACAGTTACCATAGAAGTATCTGAACCACAAAAATTAGAAATGTTAGATTCTTCCATTCAGACCAAGGAGGAGGAAGTCATCCCTATTCCAGAGGAATTGTCACCAGTTACATCAGAACCAAAAGACAACAAAGTTTCTCCAGACTTCTTGAGATCTGAGAGAACTGAGATGACAGATACTGATGAGACAGGAAAAGAGGGTATTATCACTGAACAGAATCTCCCTGAAACAACCATGTACCATGTACTCTTCAGTCCTGTTGATGCAAAAGTTGAAACTACAGAAACATCTATTCAAACTAAGCCTGTTCTCATGAAAGAGTGTACTGATGAGAGGTCCCAGTCATCGTCTTCAGAGGATCCATATGAAATTCATGTTCAGACTTCAATTTCATTTGTTCCATCAGTGGAACCTGGCATAATTTGGAAGACAAGCTGTGACACAAGCACTGGAGCTTCTAAAGATAGGGAACCCGGAACTGAAGGGGATAATTTTGTGTCACTTGTGCATGAGACTGAACAAGATAGGAATATTTGTTCTGCAAAAGAAATGCCATTGACGTCTCTTGGTGTAAAATCAGCACACCCATCAAAGGATGTACTTAAAATGCCTGGAATGGAACTGGATCCAGCCACTAACCTTGCTGTTAGAACTGAGGAAAATGTTGAACCCAGTGCTTCAGTAACAGATTTCTCTCAAACTGAAACTAAGGAAGATGTGAAGAAAGCAGTGTATGAATTCATTGCCTCAGAAGTAGGGGCACAATTGAAAGACAGAGAAAGTAGGCAACAAACAGCAAAACTTGTTCAAGATGAAACTGTTCCAGATCATGATTTGGAAAGTATAATTGGAGGAGAGAGACCACCACTTGCACAGTTGGAATGTACTGAAACAAAGAAGGAGAAACATCAGTCATCCAAAGATAGGAAGTCAAAACATAAAAAGAAACGCAAAGAAATGAAAGATTTTGACAGCACTAGAGTTTCAGAACCTGTCCCTTTGGAATGCCAAGAACAAATAAAGCCCCAGGAAAGCACATCTGAACCCACAGACTCTGAGGAAGCACAGTTTGTTGCAGAGGTTCCTTGTGCAGAGAACTTGTCACAATTTGAACCAGAATCACTGACTGCAAAGATTACACTTGAAAAGGGCAAAGTCAGAGTGATAAGCACTACAGAGCATGAGATTACATCAGAAGACCAACTTCAACATGCAGAAATCTCTACAGGTAAGAAACCAAAGAAGGGTTCAAAAGCTCAGAAAAATACTGCAGACATTAATTTAGATGCAAATCCAGAACTTTCTCTTGAAACACAAACACTTGGACACATGTGTGATGAGGAAATTTCAGCTGAGTTCCATACGTCTTTTTCACCTGTTGCTAAAGTGTCATCAGAACCTGAAGGTTGTGTGGAAGAGGAATTTCTCACAGCAGAACGTAAAGTATCTGGCCAACCTGTTAGAGGAGAACATTCACCAGGTCCTCCTATACCATATGAAGCAGTGATGGCCACCAAATGTTCACCTGACCCTGACAGGAAACTGGAACTAGCAGGACATGAGGTAGATTCAGCTTCAACTACTGAACAGTTTCTAATAGATTCTCGTGCAGTAGATACATCAAATGTTACAGAGAAATCAGTGTCAAATTTTGATACGGAAACAAATGGAGAACAACTTGTAGCAATTAGCAGTGGAGATGTAATGCCAGTTGCAATCTCTGAATTAGAGCTTGTTTTACAAGAACAACCTTCTGCAGAGTTTCTGGTTACACAGATTAAGGATTCTGTAGATGAAATGGAGATGTCTAAATTCGAAAGCCCTGTATTTGTAGAAGACATTTCAGTACAGCTTGAACCAAGTCAACCATCAGATGCCCTTAGCATTCCAGCTGAAGAGTCTCCTACAATAAAATGGAAACAGGCAACTAATGTTTTATCAGAGCGTATGAAAAATCTTCAAAATGCTAATAAAACCAGCCACATGTCTGCAGGTTTATACCTGGCGACTCTTCAAGAAGTTGTGAGTGAGGAGCCAGTAGAGCACAAGAGTGTTCATGTGCAACAAAATTTGAGTCTTCTGAGTTCAGCTGTAGAAAAGAAAGATGTTGTGGTCATTCAGAAAACAATTATTACAACGATAGAGACAATATCCACATGGCTGGAAACCATTGAATATCGTGTATATCTAAACAAACAGAAAACTAATACAGCACCAACACAGGAGCACATAAAGGAATATGACACCCTGAAAGAAGAGATCAGTAACATTGAAGAAAATGTTGACGCTTTGGAAGGTGTTCTTGAAACAGCCAGTGGAATTTGCAATGAAGATGATAAAGTACATATGAAAGAGTGCCTTGCCTCACTTCATGAACATGTGAAAGCTGTTGAGGAACTTGCTCAAGAAAGTGAAGAGAAAGTTGCCAAGGGTTTGATTTGTTGGGAAGAGTTTTTGAATGGTGTGAATAATATTAGCGTAATGGTTGAAGAGTTGAAGCAACAGTTGGAGGAACTTGTGCAGTCAGATATTTCAGCCCAACTGAAACTTCAAGAACTGGAGAAGATAGAAACTGTGAATTGTTGTCATATGTTGAAGACCTCTTTCTTACTAAAAACAGCAAGGAGCCTTGTTAGAGACTTTCCAGGAAGAGAAATCCCTCCTGAGACTTACACTGCTCATGAAACTACTCGAATTATTGAGCACAGTGTTTCTCTTGAACGAGAAAGGCTTCTTCAGCTCTTATCTCTTGCAGATGATTATGAACAAACTTTAAAAGAATTTTCACAGATTGTAGATGTTGCAGAGACTTTGGTTGATAGTCCTATATCCGTTACTAGTTTGGAGCATTTGCAGGAAGAGATGCAAAAACACCGTAAATTTTTTGTAAATTTGAGCCATTGTCGAGGAATTTTAGAATCTTTAGAAGGAAACTTGGACCCAGACACACGTGCCTTGCACTCCCAGCTGCACCAGACCTTGCACTGTAGGGCAACTGCAATACTAGATAAAGCTGCAAGTCGAGCACAACAGATGGCTTTGGCAGCTTCACGCTGGACAGTATTGGAACAAGGGATGAAGGAGGAGAGGGGATGGCTTCAAGTGGCTCACCAAAGAGTTCCAGATCTCCAGACAGTCAACTCCTCTGATTATGACCAGTACATATCCCTATATCAAGTAAGTGCAATAAACAAGTTATTAAATAGTGTAATCTGTGTTACACCAATTATAAGCAATAATGCATAGCTGTACTCAGTTCCATGGGTGGATAAATGGACTAGCAAAACTTCGTGTTCTCTCCACATAAATGGCGCACACATTGATGTGAAAGCTCAGTCACACTTCTTTGCTATTCCTCTGATTGTTACCATTCAGTCAGTGCACTTATTTTGCAACTTTCATGTTTGGAAGCTTTCTGTAACTTATGGGAATCTTGATAGTTAGATGAACAATTAAATGTACTTTGCCTCCTGATCTTGCCTGAGTAATGGATAGTCAATTCAGCTGGTCAAGAAATGATTGAAACACTAATACCCAATCCACAGAGGTTGCAAAATTCCTGCTTCAGGATACTGTTCTGAGTTGTGTCAGTACAGTCTGTTTCTCTTAGATAAATTTTAGTATGTATCCATGTTCAACCCATTCTGTAATAGAATGAGCATGTCTCATGCACATCAAAAGACCAAAAAGTTACATTATGAAAATGGCTTAGTCTTTTCCAGGTACGTCTGTACTTTTGGACATTTAAATAGTATTCCAAGGCCATGTGAAATATATTTTGCAGAATGCCTGATGTTTGTTACAAAATAATTCTGAACTTGAGAGATGTGTAGAAGAGAATAGGTTTGGTTTTCAACTTGTTAATATCAGACATTGTCCATGCTCGAAAATTTAAATAGTACTTCAGACTAGGTTAGTTATTACTTAAAATATGTTAGGGTGGTGGATTTGTGTGTAAACTAGGTAGCTGAGAAAGAAAGGTACACTTGGCCATGGGAGGTCCCAATACAGACGGAGGAAATGTAATAACATATTTCTTGAGTGTGGTGCTGAAAAGACTAATACTTACATTTCATATAATCTGGCATAATTTTGAAATATTTTCTGTTTTTAGTCATTTGAATGACCATAAAGGCTAAGAGGTATTATTGCCTCCAATTAGTAACACCTTCCCTTCTGCTAAATTATTATTGTGTTCCATATAATCATGTATACATACCAAGAGAAAGGGAATTGTAGCCAGAGGGATGTGAGTAGTTATGGTTTTTGCATAAGGTCCTGTACACCATTAAAATGTGCACTGTGGCAGGTCATTTGCATCTGTCATGTTACACACTCAGAATTATGTATATGTATGATGACACCATCATGGTGATCAGTATAGAAGCAAAGCATGTTACAGTTGCTTAGGATTTGAGAGGTTAATTTTAAGATATATTAGAAGATTGTATTTGTTACAGAAGTCTGTTAATTGTGAGTATGAGTACAATGTTTGTTTGCTGTCATTACAGTCATTATCATCAGATGTAGCTGTTCATCATGCTCGCATAGTGCAACTGCTGAGTGTAGCTCACCGATTACAAGAACTAATTACGTGTATAGGACTTGAAGCCAGATATGATGAACATTTGGAAGTTATTCTCAGATTACAAGATGATGTCAATTCTAGTCTTAGACGACTTTTAGCATTCCGAGATACATGGTCTGCATATGACCTTATGGTAGATAAAGTGGAATTTTGGATGAAAGGAGCTGAGAAAGATTTGGATATAATTTCAACTGAGACTGTACCACCAGGAGGAAATATGAGGCAGTTCTGGGTAAATATATGTGTAGAAATATTTAAATTCTATGTTTTGGATGGGTAACTTTTTGAAAGGCCAATAAATTTAACATTTTCATAATATTTGCAGATGGTACTGGTGAGGGAGTGATTGAGTACTGATGCCACTATTGCCAGTGTTAATAATATGTGGGTCTTTTCATAAATAATGCACAGGTTGGCAACACTGCGGATTAGATGATGCAACAACAGTGAGCCTCACGTCAGTTACAGTTCAGGGCTTGAGAAAAATCATGTTTTGTTTCATTTATAATGTACTCTGTTCTTAAATAACGTGAGTTAGAAATGGAGCCTGCACGGTTCTCGGGTATTGTGACTGTTGAAGATCAAAGGTCGTATATTAAGATGGAAACTTTACGTGGAAAAAGACCGACAGAAATCCACAGCTGAAATCACAGTCCGAGTGGAGAGGTCCATCTTCCCCACGACCAAAAAAATTTCAACGATCTCAATCAAAGGTCAAATAAATGATGATCTTTGCTTATGATCACCAAGGAATCATCATGACAGACAGAGTTCCGTGCGGGAAAAGTGTCACAGCAATTTATTAGTGTGACTTTATGCAAAATCTGCGCAGAAAATGCACAGAAACCGGCCTCATTGCTTGAGGCTGGGCCGATCATTCTCCATGACAACGCTCACCCTCACATCGGGAATGTCGTAACAGAAGAACCACACCAATACAGTTGGGAGGTGTTGCCTCATGCTCCCTACAGCCCAGACATGAGTACCAGGCTTCGACTTATTCCCGAAGTTGAAACAACCTATGCGAGGCAATCGTTTTCCCCCTCTGGAAGAGCTTTCTGCTGCAGTACCCGAGCCTTCAACAGATAAACAAAGATGGTGTCCTGGATGGAATAGTAAAGCTTCCCACATGTTGGGAGTCGGTCGTTGAGAAGCAGAGGGACTATATTGAAGGGCTGTAAAGAGATATTAAAAAAATAAACATGGACGTAAACAGAAAATTGTGTGCATTATTTCTGAAATGACCTATGTAATTGTGTTTCTTTTACTCATGTGTAATAAATTACAATGCCTTTCAGTCGAGTCATCCTTTCTTCAAACTTTTCTTTTTCTTTTTATATTCTAGTATTAAATTACAAGCTACAAGTATAAAGCAAATGGGTTTAGGTGTGTAATATGTCAGATCATAGAGAGTTTTTTAAATGGCTTAATGGCAAATGTTATTAACTAATATTCTGGGTTCATGTTTTTTCAGGAATTGAAGGCTCAATATGAATTGCACAATAACATTCATAATGAAGCAGGAAGCACCTTTGAATCTGCAATGCGGATTATTCCTGTTGCTGATGAGATGCTTCAGCGTCAGTTTCATGCTAAATTAGAAGACCGCTGGCGAGGTGTAGCAGACCGCATCAATAGAATTCAGACATCTATCATACAGAATCTGTCATCTCAAGAAGTGCCATTCAGTGACAAACTTTCACTTCTAGAACAGGAATTGCAGGAAGTGAAAGCTACAATTGCTGAAATTCGTGGTGTCATTAAAAATGAGGAGGAACTAAATCTCTACATTGAGAGGTTACAGGTAATGTCAGATTGGCTTGCATGAAAGTGAGTGTTTTAATTCAAGTTTCTCAGCCTCCTGTATTAACTAACAAAACTGTACTGTCATTCATTCTTTTAAAATGTTGACATATTTTTCTGTAGTTTGACATACAAGTAAGTGTAACTAGTGTTCAGAATGAAAATGAATGTGGCAAAATATTTTCACTACATTTACCTTTACTTTCTTTGTCAGTAATATGTTCCTTTTTTTTTAGGTTCTGCATGAACGTGTGGAGCATATCCAAGAAGAATTGGGTCGCCTTGGACTGATGTCTGCAACAGAATCTGAGAAAGTGAGCACATTGCTGTATACAGCTCGACAGCTAGATGTGCAGGTGTCAGAGGAGCTGGAAGGTTCGGTACTGCTGAGAGAAAAACTGCAGGCCATTCAGAAGGGTTTGGCTCGTGTAACGCGCAATCATGAAAGAGCTAGCTCTGTCCTTGACCAGTGTGAAGCCAGTGAGAAACTTGGCAGTGATGTTGTAGAGCAGGCTGTCATCAACTGTCAGGTATGCAACCATTTGTTACTTTCACTTCATTTTCCATCAAATTTCTTTTAGTTCAGAATATGAAACCTGATAACCTCACTGCCATCTATGAGCTGATTAGATAGAAAATGTGGGAGCGTCAATGTCTCTCAACCCTATGGCCCTCCGTAGCCTCTTAGAAGGATAGCTTTGCCTTTTTACCTTTTTCCTTTGCTTTTCAATAAGATAAAATGAATGTGTATATATTAACCGTCTTTTAGTGCATACAATTTCACTTGTCACTTCACACTACATGTTTCAGCATCATTCTGCCATCCTCAGGTGTATTAATCACGTTAAACCATTGCACTGCCTGCCATCGAGTGTCCATTTATAAAATGATATAAAATGTGTGTTTGTTGTTATTCAATAATAAAATTTATGTATCAGAACTTGTTAAGATCTATCATCTTACATGTCGTATATCAAACTTGTGTGTAATGCCATTCATCCGCTATGGGAGTCCTTATGTTTTAATTGTGTATATACTGTGTCTTTCTTATGTGGCTGCGTGCGTTGAATTGCTGGACGTATGTGTGGACGAACACACATTTTATATCATTTTATAAATGGACACTTTATGGTAGGCAGTGCAATGGTTTAATGTGATTAATACACCTGAGGATGGCAGAATGATGCCGAAACATGTAGTGTGAAGTGACAAGTGAAATTGTATGCATTAAAAGACGGTTAATGTATACACATTATGGATACGAATCAGTGCAACAGGATGCTAAAATACAACAAGATAAAATTAGTTTGAAAATTATATAACTATTCCCTGTTTCTGTGATATCACAGCCATAAAATCAGTATTTCCTGAGATCCCTCATGTTGGTAAAACAGCTATATAATACTGTTACAGGCTGTGGCAGAAGAGTTGGTGTCTCACTGGCAAGACTTGATGACATTGCGTCAGCTTCTTCATACCTTGCCCATGTGTCTCCGCCTAACAGTCTCACCTGTTCAGGTAGAGCGTCAGATCTCACAGCTGCAGGATGAGAACACCGCACTAGAAACACGATGTGACAGGTTATTGTCAATGTTGCGAGCTAGACTTGCTCTTTGGAGACGTTTTGAACGGCAACTGGAGATGGTACAGCAGTCTGTTCAAGAAGCTGATTATATGATGGAACTGCTCACCGTGCAAGGTTCTGTGGACTATGATCGCTTGCTGAAAGCAACTGAAAGACTAGAGGTAAGTTCCTATACATTTTTTTCAAAATGGTTTTAAGATTTAAGTGGACCTAATAAGGTATTGGAGACATACATTTTCTTTCAGAGCTTTCACTGCAACACAAAATTTCTTTGTTGAATTTTGTTTCTGAAAGTAATGGCTGTTCTTTTGAAATCTGTGTAGCAATTATTATGTTTTTTGCGATAATTTTTTTGCAGTACAGGTTCTCTGTTATCTGAAGTGTTTATGGTATAATATTTCCCTCTTTGCATTATTACTGGTATTGCAGTATTAGGCATTCATATTGATCTTACCGGTCCAAGATGGGATGATAATATCACAGAACACAACTATGCATGTGCATGTTTAAGTTTTGTCAGACCAGACCTACTGTGTGTCTGCACCATCTGCAATTTTTTTTTTAAGAATTCCAATTATGGCAGCCAAACACAAGAACTTAGACTTGAATGAGAATCTTCAATTAATGTCTGTGTGAACATGGTAGCTCATCAGATAGTGAAATAGAAAGGTTATATAGATTAACTTCTCTGTTGTGAGTGTGTATTGATGACATTCATTTCTTGATCTAAATTTGGGACTGTGAGACAAGCATGATGAAATCTGTGCTACCAATGTAGTGTGATACTTAGGCTTTGGAGCTGCAGACGATATGGAACATACCAGAGTTTCTTGTAAAGATGGTTATTTTCATTATGAGTGTGGTAATGTAAATGTCATTTGGTAGAGAAGCAGTTATGGATTCACGTAGTTTACATGCCAGTACAATAACATGTTTTTTACAGTTAAGTGTGTCGTGGCTTATACAGGATCATTGCTTACGTATGTAACATCAGACAGTTGCACGTGTTCTAATCTTGGTATTTAGAATAATCCTTGATGTAGTGCACATACGAGGGGGTACCCAAAAGAAACCGAACTTGTTTTTTTTTAACTTATTTATTCAAATTTTAAGCACAAACCTTCAATCCCCTTCAAAGAACTCTCCACTTACACTAATACACTCGTCTAGTCTTTTATTCCATTTTTCAAAACATTGTCTAAATTCATCTTTTGAGATGCTTGACAGCGCCTCCGTCGTTTTTTCCTTTCACGTCTCTTTTCATTCGCGGAAACAAAAAAAAAGTTGCATGGGGCAAGGTCGGGTGAGTATGGAGGGTGAGGAACAGGGGTCATACCATTTTTGGTCAACAATTGTCATACAGACAGGGCTGTGTGAGCAGGGGCATTGTCATGATGGAAAAACCAGTCACCCGACTGCCACAGATCTGGCCGCTGAGCTCCAAGTCACTCCCAACAGCTCCACAATTTCTTCAGTGGTCCGTCGTCGATCTTCCTTGATGATTTCACGAATTTTTTTCAACATTTTCATGTGTTCGGGCCGTGGAAGGGCGACCAAAACGAGGTTTGTCATCAATTGACATTTCACCATTTTTGGAATGGGATAACCACTCAAACACTTGAGTTTTCCCCATAGCATCGTCCTTGTATGCCGTTTTTAACATTTCAAGAGTTTCTGTTCCACTATTCCCGAGCAAAAAGCAGAATTTCACCGCCGCACGCTGTTCACGAAAATCAGCCATTGCAAAAACGACGATCACACAAAACAGTTGTTACTATAAACTCTGCCGAAACTAGTCCTTACCTTCTGAAGCAACGGTAGTCGGCTTATCGACTCAGGAATGTTAGCTCTATGCGCTCATAGCGGCAAAACGCGGTACTGCAAAAGCTCTGCCCACAAAAAAATTAGTTGGGTTTCTTTTGGGTACCCCATCATATATAGGTGCCAGTGCTGTTTAAAATGCTTTTTGAGCGAAGTCTGTTGCTCAAGTTCATGCATTCATCACTTGTGCACATGCAGTGAATTACAGGCCGAATTTAGGTGGGACTTGTGAGCAGAATGGGTATGATTCTTTCTTCCAAGCGTGCATAAAATTGAGTGAAGTTGTTTGTGAAGGGCGACTCAGTAGCAGCCATTTGCAAGTAGAAAAGGGTGTCTTAAGTTTAAGAATAGCTTTGACCCTTTGGTTCACATAACACTAACAGTGATGAGAAATCATTATTCCTTATTATTTTCATATTTCTTTGATAATCAGTTCAAAGAAGTAGATATTGTCATTTCCTCATACCTATTAAACCTTCATTTGATTTATGTGCAATAAGAAGGTAGGGGATGGACTTGTAGTTTCTTATGTCAGTAACTGTTCCATATTGCAAGCACTTGTTACAACAAGCATTTTTAGTAATTTTATAAATTCCCATAATGATGAGGATTACATTTTGTCCTTATTTATTAGGAAGCAAAGCCAAAACTGAATGCATATTCATGAGTGTGAATAATTTAATTGGCATTCACTGATAATGCTCATTATATATGTGTGATACTACACCTTTATCAGGATAACTGGTAACTCTCAAGTGAAGATAGGGAATTGATAAACTAAGAAGGAAGTTTTGCAGTACTTAATATCATTGTGCACATGTTTGAATGTATCATCATTGACGGAATTTATTTATATGTAACAATGTTGTGAGTAGTTCTGACTCCATAGCATCTAATAGCACGTTAATTAATGAATGCTAAATTAGAAAGATTATGAAAGGAAGTGGTCATGACTGGGGTCTAATTTGAGGTACTATCTTGGCACTTTCCTAGAGGAACTGAGGAATATGCTCAAAAGTCTTAGTCCAGTCAGGTCGAGATGTAATCCCAGGACCTCCTGAATGTGAAGCTTGAGTGCTACTCACTTGGCTGTGAAATTCTTTTACGGGCAGAAGAAACAGAAGTACAAGAATTAGTGTCCTAACCATCTGAGAATACAATTTCAGTAGGACAGTGGCTCGAGTAGGACTGGTGATTGCATAGAAGCAAAAAGCAGCAAGTGGTTGATTTGTGTAAAGGAAGAATTTCCTGTTACCCAAAGAAAAAATCCTGTGTTTCTGTTTAATATATCTCATTTTTACAGCCCTTCGTACATCTTTAACATGCCTTCTTGCTTTGTTCCAGATAAGAAATGCTTATTCTGTTTTCTGTGACTTTGTTCTGTTATTTTGGTAGAAACAAAGGCTGCATCTTTTTATATCAGTATAGAACAGACTTAAAAATAGCAATTTCCTCAGTATTTTGGCATGTCTATTACCAACCAATATTCTGAATTTTAAGCATGAACTCATAGGCAGAAGTGGTGTGCTACATGATGCAATGCATTATATTTAGGTTAGGCAGGGAAACACATGGAGATTGTGGAGCAAGCTCAAACTGTGCCAGATATCTGTAACTATTCTACACACCAAACATATTCACATATGAGAGAGACGATGTATTCCACTGTCTTTCATTTTTCATTCCAGCCCTTTACCCTCCCTTCTCTCTCCCATAGTGAGGCACAGATATTTTTAAACATGGTCTGTCATATGTCTTTCTGCTTTTATGAGTGACAGTAATTATCTGGTATTTAATTAGACAGCTTTATTAACATTTAGCACATTTATATAATGTTCTTGAGCTGCCTTAATATGTGACTTATTTTAGTGCTATTATTGAGACCTGTCTCTGCTAGGATCCCAGATAGTCTGCCCCCTTTCAATGGGAATGTGAAACTTGGTATAATGGGTACTCAAAATTTCGCTGTGGATTTTCTGTATGTAAAAATGTACTGTAAAAAACCAAGGAGGGAACATGAAATGAAAGTATTGGAAAAGAAATTGTGTGGAAATATTTGCACCTAAGGAAGATGATCTAAATGGGTAGGAGAGAGAATTTTATTTCTCCTGTAAGTCTGTGGAACATAGTCTGAGGGCATTTGAGTACAGGACATTCAGAATATTTGGACTGAAGAGAGATGAAATGATAGGCGGTTGGAGAAAACTGCATAATGAGGAGCTTCATAACTTATACTCTTCTCCAGGTATAATTAGTATGATCAAATCAAGTAGGATCAGGTGGGCAAGGCATGTAGCATGAATGGGGAGAAGAGGAATGCATAAAGGATATTGGTGGGAAAGCCAGAAGGAAAGACACTACTAGGTAAACCAAGACATAGGTGGGCAGACAGTATTAAAATGCTCTTAAAGGGATAAGATTGTATGGCATGGATTGTATTGTTCTGGCTCAGGGTAGGGACCAGTGGAGGGCTGTTGTGAACACGGAAATGAAATTTCGGCATGATATACAAACTAAGGACAACAGAAAATATATGCAGGAGTTTGATAAAAATTTAAACAGACATATTCTGCCACATACATGATATCGATTAAAATTCTTGCAGATAAAATTTCCTGCGTGCTTGTAATGACCAAGTAACAGATAAACCAATGCTGATAATTATTAAATAAATGAAACACCTGCAAATTACAAACAAATATTGAACATTCTTCTGTGTGTGCAGGGGGGGGGGGTTCTCTTTGCTTCTGGTATCGGGAGATGGCGCAAATCTCCATTGATTGGGCCCAGCAGAGCAGTACAATGAATAACGTTCAAGAAATCACTGGTTATAGTAATATATTATCATGATCTTTTACATCTGATGTATATCGCTCACATTTAAGAAGCTCGAAATACTGGTCAGCTTTGAGAAGTAGTGTTGTTTTGATGGGAAATTGATAGCCCAAAACAATTTGCATCACAGCGGATTTTGATTTAGTTAGTTAAGAACGGATAAGAATCAGAACAGTATTCAAGTTTATACACAGTGCAACAGGATGCTAAAGTATAATATTAATTCGCATATCTTTAAAAGATTTTCAAAACAAGTTCAAGGTTTCTTATTGGGTTTGTCAGTAGTGACTGACGAAGATATTGAATTGTTAAACATTAAGAATATATCAGTTAGCTCCAGTATTTGCCCTGTGCTTGATATAACTTGGCATCAAAGCCCTTGCATGAAAATCAGTGATTGTAGTTTTATTATTCGCTCTGAGGATGTTGGTGATAAATGGAAGGAAGGTGTGCAAGATAAAGTTGGGGCCAACGTGAACCAAAATTCCATCCAGGGCAACAAGAA